CATACGCATGGCCGCCCAATTGGATGAGTGTCAGGTTCGGTCGTTTCGTTATATCTACCTAAATCTTATCATGCGTCTCTTTCAGGGAACTGAAGAAGCTGTTGAACTCGTATCTCAGTTCCGAATCTCAGCCTCATTCCAGGCAGGGTGTAGTGATCAACGAAGCTACAGCGTCCTCTTCTTCGAACGACAATCCGATACCGTTGCTGAAATCTTCGGCAGGTTCAAGTTTTGGTTCTGAATCAAAGGTCGCGGCAGATGCACCAAGCCAAATTCATCTGTCATCGCCTGCACAGACTGTCACCGCATCCCAGACGATTTGTAGTCAGCAAAGTCTGGGTCATGCTCATTCCCTTGTAACCGCTGGTTGTGCCGCAAATACGATTCCTGTTAAGTCGAAACCGTCTTCTGCTACCTCGTTAACACCAAAAGAGGCAAACCACGGTAGTATTGCAGCTTCGGTTCTGGTGAATATGGGACCGTCGTCGGCAGTGCCATCCCAGTGCGGTAGTCGGATAACGCCATCCAACGCCGCTTCAAGATCCACCTGTTCCGTTATACACTTTAGTCAGCAGGAAGTTTGTAGCGAATCCGCGAAGCTGGAAAAACAGAGACGAGTCTCGACACATGCGACGATGAATCAGCCTCAACCGCAACAGCAAATATCGCCGCCGGCGATCGACCGAAGTGATTCGTCGTTGCAACTGCAACAGAAGATACTGGCGTGTTCAAAAGATCAGCCTTCTGTGGAATTACAGGACTATTTTGAACTCATCAGTAGCGCCGGCGCCAGACCAACAGGAACATCGGTTCGGTGGGTGGCATCCTCAGAGCACTCAAAAACACTTCCGATGATATGTCTTTCACCGAACTCTTCCCCTTCATCTGCTACGTCGTCAGCAAATTTGACGATGAACATAGGCGATTCTAAAACGCAAAGCCAACAGCAGATGCAGCAGCACATCCCGTCCATGGCTGCTCTGTCACAACCGACCTCTTGCTTTGCAAAAACTGCCGGTAGATCGCAGTCCCAATTGCATCCTCGCCATGATTCTACGAAACTGGCGTATTCCTCGTATACAAAGTCACCGAATGGACAATCACTGAGTCACGGTGTCCAAAATGTATCGTCCTCCAAAGTAAATACCCGACCTGAAAACATGTTGTCGGCGTTTGGAACAAAAGGGGATGCTCAGCATTTCAGCCACTGTCCTGCTGTCAGCTCTACCAGCCTCAGCGGTCTCAGCTCACCGTCTCCCGCTGTTGCTTCTTCCTCGCTTCAAGGGGTTTCTAACTTAGTGAAAATGCCCGTTCCTACGTGCTCAGGTTTCCTGCCACAGCAACAGCGTTGTTGGTACTTCGGTCGACCAAACACGGCGGCGGCTTACGTCTCCGAGCAGATGTGGGCAGCGAAAATAATGCGTTCTGTCCAGAATCAGTCTGGCACAGAACACGCTTCCCTAAAAGTTCCTCAAAGTAAGGTTCTACTGTTTGGTAATATATTTTTTTTATCATTTTATGATTTTTGCTGAAATTCTTTCTCTGTTAGTGCAATAGTATAATCATCCTGTTTAGAGGGTTGACGATGTGCAGAATTCCCCCCCCCCATTCGTTTCTGGCTGGTTAAAGATTGCGTTTTTCGAGCATTTTTTTAGTTCTTTTCAATTTATTACCGGAAATAGTTCTTTTTTGGGCGGCGTGGTTTAAAGATTCACATGCTCTCTTTAGATTTGTTGAAGCAGCGTTCCCTGTTCCTTTCTTCTCCAAATACATTTGCATGTCTGAATACAGTTATGTGGTCATAGTTGTCTCATCGCTGGCCGACCCTTTCATCCGCTTTGCAGTTCCCATAGCGATTTTATAGAATTCTCTCCATCATAGTTTGCTATAGCAAGCGATCTTTAAATGTTTTTACGTTGGCAGTGATGTATGTGATGGTCTGTTTTTTGGGAAGGGACTATGGATAGATTTTCAGGTTATTCATCACCGGATTAAGTTGAAAGTTATTGTTTATGAGCGTCATCAGCAGTGAGTCTGTTAATTCAGTTTTCTAAAGAAACTACGACAGCGCCTCTGTTGAGCGATTCAGTTTCGAGATCATTCACCGTTTTTTTTGTTCCGTTCAGTTATTTGTTTGAGGCACGAATAATGGTTCCCGGATGGTACACTGTTATTTTTTAACAACTGACTGATGTAGAAGAGACACGTTTTATATGATTCAGTATTGCGAGATATGGCTGAGTCTGGTGCCTGATATCCAGTTCGGTTCTGTTTCCAAAGTTAACGTGAATGATTCTAATCGTCCTCAGTTTCGATGGGATTCTGCAGCCCTGGAATTTTCTCGTGTTGTTAGGCATTTAAAAGCTCAGGGATCTGGAAATTGAATTTCTGACCTTCAGTCCCTACCAACACTGTCGTTTGTTTGGTTACTTCTTTCTGTTTAACTGTTGTTCGTTTTGCAACAGTTGTTGGTTGAATTTGAACGCTTCGATGTCTCTTTCTGCCAGAAGTTCAGCTTCGCCCTGAACTTTGTCATCATTTCCGGCAGCTGCTGACCCTACAGCTGGATATAAGGATCTTGGTACATCACCTGATGCATTTATTAGTACACTTTTTCAAGCAGGATTCATTCCTACTTCAATTCTTTTGCGCCGTTTCCTACCTTTGCACCTAACTTTTTAAATAAAAAAGCATGACGACGAAAAATATCATTTAAAAAATTTTGAAAATTACTGATTCATTAAATGTTTTATGCAGGGGCATATTTCGGTAGTCTTTAGAATTTTATTTTAAACGTTTTATACAACCTTTCTGACTTTTAAGTGATAGTCCCGGATACATTTGCATGGAGTATCTCTGTTTCAAAACTGGATGTGTTTGCAAACTTTTGTGTGAACTGTGTTTCTGGCAGATGAATCATATGCTTGCTTATAGGGTAGGGATAGATTGTATATAATATCTGTGCAAAGTAAACCTTTTAATGGCTATCGTGATAAATTTAATCAATCTGTATTATTGATTTTTTTCATAGTGCTTTATCCTTAGGTCCTGATCGGTGGCTGCAATGGAATAAGCAATAGTCATTCATAGTTTTCATACCACATCGATAACTAGTTGAAGAGAGGTTGAAGTCCATGCGGTTTCTATTTGAACGCACGTTGCTACATGTGATGAATCGGTATTTCACGCGTTCATTTATCTTATGGCAGATGTTGTCTATTGTATGCATATTCTTTTCTGACGGTCTATTCCCATGATTAGGTCATGTTAAAGTGCATCTCATTTGCTGAATAGCAATTCGTTTGACATATCATGAACTCTGATTACAGTAAAAAATTTTTTGCTATTCTGTATTTCAGATACAGCCAAAATACCCGCACAGAGCAGCGGAGGTTTCACCTTGTGCTGATTGTCAAATTAAATAGTCAGCTATCAGGGGGAGGTCAAAGTATACTGAAGCCATATGAGGCATTCAGACCAAACAGCACGATTATACCTCTCACTCAGTCTGATATGTTCATACCAGAACACCATGCTGCCTCAAGTTTTTTCAAATCAGCCACTAGCTACCCGTTTCTCGGATGGCTGCATCAGAGCAAATGCCGAGTATATTTCTTGCTCATAAATTAAGATAGTCCCTCTACAAATTCTCAAATGTTTTGGATTATGTTCGATCCGTCCTCAGAGAGAGGTGATGTAGCAGAGTACTCTAAAATAAACCTATGGAGTTTTTATGGTTATAGACTACAGTAGAAGCTATTTCGCAACTTCATTCCAATTACGAATTTAGTTCGGTACCAGCGAACATGCCATTCAGTTACATAAAATTGGCTTCCTCTATTTGTTGGCTTAGAAACTTTTTTTAGCTATTTAGCTGTATAACATTGACATGCCACTTTTGAAAATCTACACGTTAACTTTTTATTATATTTAGAGGCCTAGAAGACCTTCCTTAACAAGCAATAGCAGTTTGCCATAGTCTACAATTTACGGATGTAAAATAGTTATATTGGTCTGAATTGCAACTTGTAACAAGGTAATTTATCCAAGCTTGTTTGTATATAGCCAAATATCCCATGATTTTCAGGGTCTATCTGCAAGCAGATTTTCAAAGCTACTGATTACAGTGATAAGCGCACAAATTCTTCAGGTTAAATTATAATATACTTTGTGCTTTTAGTACCATAATGACAATGAAGCTTTCATCCCCTACTGAGACATGCCGATGGCTAGCTTAAAAATCTTTGATTTTATTCAAATTCAAGCAGTAGAATGACACTTTAAATAGGCCAATACCTCGAAATGAATCTTTTCATTGCTGTTATTCATCTACTCCGCGCTGCAGTACTTTCGTCAGAGAGGTGGTCTCCCTAATGACCAGGATCAGAAAGTCCTTGTTACTGTTCAAATTGATGTGGACTAATTTGTGAGGTTTTAAAGAAATCAGTTCGCCTCGCTGCGACACGAGCCACCTTGTGTGGTAACTCGTATCCATTAACGAATTCATTTGTAGGCTCGAGGACAGGCAAGAATTGCATTCGATTAAGCGAACGCTCCATCCGTCCTGCTTTTTTCGCCAGATGCTTCGTTAATATGCAAATAGAAACGACATACCTGTTAGAAAACAGTCAGTTGATCCAAATCTGCATATGTTTAGAACATATACCAGATGGCAAAGAGTCAGCATTCACATGGTCTTAAGGACTTAAAAATGGCTAATAATTGAATGCCAACAAAAACAACATGATGAAATGCGATAAAAATGCTCTTGGTGCGACAGTACATCGTGTATATTCAAAATATCCATGATGGAATCGGCAGCAAATTATTCAAATACCTGCTAAATGAATAGAGTATTTACTGAATTGAGATGTTTCAGATTGATATTCCATAGTACATAGGCATTGATACAATCTTATAAAATGTTTTCTGCCACGTTTCTGGGTACATATTTTCTTTTATTATTCACCAAGTTAATGCTAGAATTAAAATGTGAGCGATCATTCTGAATCCTGAATAAGATTTGCTACTTGCAGTTAAAAGTTGAGAATTATTTGTTGAGAGAATCTTTGTCTAGTCTCCCTTAAATCATCTACTTGACGAGAAAAATTTCATGAAATCCATGAAATTTTAAAGAATAAACATTTAAAGTTGTATCGTTTGATCCCCATCACCACTGGTCCGAACTTTGTGCTTTGTCGGCCCTTCTTCCAAATTAGGTCAAACAAGTCAAGATTGTTTGTTCCATAGATGATTTGCCACCTTGCGAAGCAAAGTCATTGCGGATTCTTCTCCCGAATCAGGACTGTTTCTCATTCCTTTATTTAAAACTGCAGTGAAAATAGAAAGAAGAAATTTAATTGTCATTATATGCAAATTGACTGGCTTTCGTCAAAGTCATGCTGTGCATGCAAAATAACAGGAAATGGGCTATAAGACCATGAATATTGATTTAAATTGTTCAAACAAGACTATTCATATAAGTATTCGTTAAAACTTTCAATAAATTGCAGTGGAAACATTCGGAGAAGCGTCTGTCGAGTTTCATTTATTTAAAAGTTTTCATGCGTGCTTTTGGATTAATCAAAGACAACGACAATTCCATGTTTGGTTTCGGATCGTGGCATATACGATAGCGAATGTCTGCAGCGGCTCAGTATTGCGCTACCTATGCAGGAAAGTAAGTTTTCATAAAAAAATTGAGTGAATGAAACGCAATGACCACTATATCGGCAAGAACAAGAAGGAATAATTTAAAGGGTTCTTCCAAAAAGAAACCCGAAGAACGACCAATGAGTCGAAAAATTGAAGGTCTTGGCTATGAGATACTCCGGCAGAGAAGCATCGTATATCCTATGATAGTAGGCAATAGAGATATCTAAAAATCGAAAAAAGAACCAAAAGA